TGTCACTGAGCTGATCAATTTCGCTTATCCATATGAAAACAATTTATTTCGCAGGCTCTAATTCAAAAGCACGTCGGTAAACCATAACGGTTTTTTCGTACATCAAAAAGTACAAATACCTTTAAGTAGCTTTATACGCATGATAAAGTCATCTATTGCTATTAGGTTGATGCGAAAAGGCCGTTTTCCAAACCTTTTTTCAGGACGACTTTTTCCCATCAAAATTTTTTCTTTGAAACAGAGATAGCATATTACTGAGAAGCTCTTTTATGCTCTGTCTTGCGGTGGTTTGGTTAAAGCGGGCTTCTGATGGTCTTCGCATTCAAAAACTTAGTTTTTCAGAAGTTTTTTCAACACATCAAAGTGAGATTTCGCAGAAAGGGTCATCATTTGTATTGACTTAATATTAGGTCTCAAAATTCCTCCACAGAAGTTTAGGCGTATATGCTAAAACTCTGCAGCCGGTATGATTTCTGAGATAATGGATTACGGTAATACAATACACCAAGTCAGTCCTGACAATTGAGAATAATCTTCTCTACACTGTGTTCAGCACCTCAATTATGCATGGTGTCGAATTCTATACGGGCTTCTTTACACCATAGCCTTTGGTAGTTGCCTAATAAAATCAGATGTGAATTTTCTAGAAGTAATCAGTCTTCCGGAGTGGATATCGAAGTAAATTCAGCTGCAGTTCCTCCTTTTTTGTCTCTTGCTGAATCATAACTGGATTATAGACGTTGGACTGTGTTTACGATGCATGAGTGACCGTTTCGACTGTCAAGACAGTAAAAATAGCCGGCGCACGACTTCGGAATATCTCTCTTTTTCTCTCGATGCGACGCAAATGTATATCACGCAAGTTGATAGACAAAGTGATGATCTCTGGACCTGTGATGTAAGCACGGTAGCGGAAGCAAATTCCGTTTCGTTGATCGGTTTTCGAATGATAGTCAGATTTATATAGTGAACCGGTTATTTATTTACCTAATTTTTATTTGTGTTGAACGCCCCTATGAAGATGAAAAAACAACAACAGAAAGAAAAAAAATAGATGAAATAACAAACAACGAAATAATTGAAAGCATTAGTATGAAAATCTCAAAATCTTTTTGAACGATGTGGGTTTAGTCAAGAACACTCTCTGGCTTAGAAGTATGTATATATCACGTGCAACGCGGCACGTAAAGAAGCGTCTTCTAACGTTTCGTCTGGCCTTTGGTAACAGAATTTTCCTACATCCATCTCCAGTATTAGAAGATCTAATTACAAAAGAGCTTCTCGAGTCAAGATTTGGAGACCTATACGTATACATTTTACACCGAAACACAGTTAGTAGAGTATGTCCACGAGTACATATATTACGGTCATAAATTGTAATCGGTAGAGTAAGTGCTGTTTCCAAATCCACATAGCGGAGAGTTCAGTTTACCACCTATGTCAAAAGTTACCACCTATGTCAGTCTTGTATATATGTTCCTTGTAGTACTTCCAGCCAACTTTTGAACTAATGTACCCATTGCTCTCTATTCGCTGAACTTTGGTATACCAACGCATGAACCGCGCAAAGGGTCTAGTCGGTACAAAGACCATCGAATTAGTCTGGCTCTGGTCAGCATACGCTAAATCAAAATGTCGAACATCAAGCTCTTCCCTTACTTCCCCTCTCTTCCCCCTACTCTCCCATCAAATTAGAAATGCGGATGAAAGTGGCTTTCTTTGTAACAGCTACACCTCGTACAAGTTGTAAATAGAACTTTACAGTCTCGCTTACAGTCAGTGGCGCATATCGTTAGGTGTCCCTTACAGTAACACTTCCGGTTTTTGTTTAACGCTTTACAGCCAATAGATACTAAAATACTACTAAGATACGCAAATAGCGTGTATGGCCCTGCCCCCTATCAGAACTAAGAAAATGGGAGGCCATCATTATAAATTAAGACGTAGCATAATGGGCGATACAAGTTAGTAGTGTGCACTAGATTGAAGGAAGCGATACAAAAAGAAGGAAAGCAATATGAAGGCAGCTGGAGGACTCAAGTGTGACCTAAAAATTGTATTTTTTTGATGTTGCGAGTAGTCAAGGCGGTCAAAATAAGCCTTTCTGAAAAAAACCACTCAAGTTTCAATTTTGTCTTACCTTCACCTATGTGTGGTAGTGCAGGCTATAATAAAATATCGAAAATAGAATTTTGAAAGTCAAAATTTGAGGCAAAGTATTTCTGAATCGAAGAATGTATTGCAACATCTGCAGGAGGAGCATGATGCAGCTAGCAGAAGAATTTTATAAAATTTGGTGTTTTTCAGTTTTTTCCACAGTTGCTGTTCGTGGTCCACCATTATTGTCCAAAATCTCTTTAACGATGAAACAAACATCGAAAACACTATCAGAAACAATGACGAAAGTGTGGATGATAGTTACAGTTCATAAATCTCCCCCAACTTGTCGTAAATAAGAAAGTTGATTGTTGCCCCATTGTTACGATTATTATGAATGATCACCAACCACCGGCTCGTCTACTGCGTCTCTGACCCTAGGTATATAAGCCAGGACTAACGAGAGCGGTTATAATTCTCATAGGCTGGTGTTTCGTTCCGGGTTAGGAGTCCAGTTATGATAGATTATTACAGTAATGGTAACTTGGGGTAGGTTATCGTTGTGCTAAGACCCACCTATACTTCAACACAACTACCTGTCATGCAAATATTTGTGATTTTATATTTGAGTGTTTAAAAATCTCTGCATGAATCTCAGCAAAATTTTTTGAAATTTTTCATATCAAAACAAGATTGTGAATGACTTTCCTCTCGAAGAAGTCTTACACTGTCACCGTAAAGTCCTTCCACTGTCACCGTAAAGTCCTTCAACTTTCTTTCGCAATCTTGTTGTCAGTAATTCCACTTGATTTTCCTGTTCCCTCGTTAATCTCTAACAAGAATCTCATGGCTTCTACATATACATCCCTAAATCTTTGATCAACTCTCATACACTGATCTGACATCGTTTCGTTACAGCACATACGGTCCGAGATGTGGATGGCAACCATTACGATCATAGTAGTCACTGAAATATAAGTGTAACGGCAGAATGAGGACGGTTAGCTCAACAAAGAAAAGATAGATGATTGTGGTCCTCTGAGATGAAAAACCACATGACCAGCAGTGTCTATGAAGCCTAAATCAAAATCATACTTATTATCCGCGGAACGTTTTTTTTTTGAAAATACATATTGATGGGCGTTTTGTATTTGCACGCTTTTAAATTGATCGAAATTGTAAGCTCTAGTAGCGCCCCATTGCAGAATTTAACTCTATGCTACACCAAAAGTAATGAAAATCTTAGTCACAAAGACACTGATGTAATAAAAATTCTCAAAATTCAAGGCATAGTCACCAATTTTGAGGCGAAACTCTTAGTTGAGAGCTGTTATAAGGTCGCACCAGGTTAATCCATCTAGCACCAAATTACTTGAGAAGTGGTCTTCACCCCTATTTCAAAAAAATTGCACATAAAAATTATCGGAGAGAACTTCACGCTTTCTAGCCATCAAAAAGAGATACTAAAAGCTTGTTTGATTTCTTCTTTGGAACGCTTTGAATCTGAGATTACTCCAGATTTTTACGACTTGCTCATTTTGACTGGACGAAATGCTCGCTGACTAAATTTTTCATGAGTAGATGATTTTCCTTCATTTAATCTTTTGGTTTTTTGAACAAAAGCCCTAAGATGCATGAGATCAGTCATTTGTTGTAGCAGAGCATGCAAAATTTATAGAAACGTATTACTAACATCTTTAGGACAATTCCATTGTTTTTGGCGCAATATTTATGGACTAAGCTAATAGACACACAGTTTCGGTTTGCTATGAAATTATTGAAAAACTTTGACTTTTGACTGTTGGTTGAGCAAATCTGTATGCTCTTTTCCGGACCATTATTCTATTCACAGCTTGACCTGCTTATTCTTAGAATTCTTCTGTTTGTTTGCGTCATGCTTAGCATGTGTTTGCTATAGCAACAAAAACCGTTTTACGGAATGGTGAATTCAATGCTAAAAATACCTCACAATTTTTTTCATGCATATACATAAGAGTAATCAGATTGTGCGTTCAATAGTGATAACGTTTTTTGTTTTTTGATCCACAGCCAGACTGTGTGCATTCTATGTATGACTCACGAGTTTCTAAATATAGATCAAATTATTTTATGTGATCTATCACTTCCGGATAAGAAACCCTTATGATCTTAATCACAATGTACGCGCTTATAATCGCTAAGCATACACATCGTGACGATGTCATGACATCTCCACCATTGCTCAGGTTTTTTGTTTCGCAATCTGTTGACATACCGTATTCCCGACGGAAGTGAGATTGTAACAGATGATCGTTACCAAAGCAGGGAGCGCGTGGGGTTAGCGGCAGCTGGTTGGGGTAGGGACGGGGGGTGAGAGAGAAAAAACCCGTTTGCTAGCTATTATCATCAATACGATTCGAGATGCACGTGAATTACTCTTTCACCCTAGGTGTATAAAAAGGAAGCATCGATACCCGCCTCTGGTAGGTGGGCTCGTTCTCAACATAGAGCAAGCAATCCATTTTTTGGTTTAGTTTACAAAGTGAGTTAGGGGTGTTAGGGGTTTATTTACAAAGTATTCACATTGCTTACGCTTTGAAAATTTGATTATTCCATTTTTTGGATATTCTTACCTCGTCCCCTTTCTCGAAATCTTGTTCCTCCTTACTTTATCACCCTCTGAAAAAATTTGCCTACTTCACTTTCTTACCCTAATCCCTTTCCATTTTTTTTATTTATTATGCAGTGTAGCCCTGTTGTTTTCACTTACCGCCAGATTATCCGTCATTAGCCCTATTTTTCGACAAATTTTTGCGCGCACAAACAATACCCTTTTTTCGCGCATGGATATTTACATGTACCGTCTCCATCAACAACTCGCTGTAGAATAATTCAAGTCATAAAGTCAATCTTTCAGAAATTATATCAGCCCTCAAAATGGGTTTGAACAGCATTCAACCGATGGAAATAAGCCGACCAGGTCTAAACGGTGTACAAACTGCAGAGCTAGGCCAGCCAGGGGGTAAGCAATCCCATTTTTGTGCAAAACCGTCCTTATACAATTACCGTAAGCCTGATATTGTAACCGCTAAGTCGAATTTCAGCAGAAATCATCAAGAAACCCTACGTTCCACCGCAGCCATTGTCATGTGGTCAAAAAGTTAAGCGATGGTTTAAGAAGTACTTCCTAGAAGGTAAGCTAACATTTTACCCATCTTGGGTAAGTCGGTGCTTACCCTCACCTCTACAGGTCAACATTTGGAAGAGGACGCTGAGGAGGAACTGCATAATTTGCCAGAGAATCCAACATGGCACGATCTGATTTTCATCAAGTACCGTAAATTTGTCGCAATGCTTATCCCCTTCGTTTTGATGCAGGTAAGGAATTAGTGCCGATGGTAAGGGTAATCAATCAATAATCGATTTTCTAGTCATTCTGGTGGATGCTTGCAATTCGATGGAATTTCTTCGAATGGTATCCCGAATATTGGCACATGCCTGTCACTATGATCCTCGGCTCATTTGTTGGAGGTAATCAATAAATCAATAATACCACCATTATTACTTCATAGATGGCTGCCTTAATCAATTTTTACCTTCTGCAGGTATGACGTCAGAAGGTAGTGGTGCCGTTGCTTTCCCTGTCATGACATTAGCCCTACACATTGCGCCAAGTATAGCCAGAGATTTCTCCCTAATGATTCAGTCTTGCGGTAAATTTTCATTATTTTCCCTAATTATTGATACTGATTTTCAATGTTTTCTAGGGATGACATCGGCGCTGATGTGCGTACTATTTATGAAAGTGAGAATTGAACACCGTGCTGTGATTTTGGGAACACTTGGAGCCGTTCCCGGTTTCATTATTGGAGTGCATTTTGTAAGTCAAGCTTTTCTTGATTTTCGCGAAATTTGAGAAATGATTTTTGTTCAGGTCGACCCCCTCTTCAATGGGCCACAAAAGAAAATGATGTTCGTGTCAATCTGGACTGCGTTCGCCATTGCGCTCTGCATCCTAAACACACAGAAGAAAAGACCTACGTTCAAGGAAATTCCTGACTTCAAACCATGGAAAGCAGTCGTCCTCTTCATTACCGGATTTGTGGGAGGTACGTTTTGAAAAAAAATCTGCAGCCTCAAAATAGCTTTGAGTTTTCTTTGCTGATGTGAGAGATAACAAAAATAAAGAGTCAAAAAAAATGTGAGATCCATACGAATGCAAAAAAATAAATTTTACAAGTGTGCACCCTATATTTGAAATGCATATGGTTTTTTTCAAAGAGTAGTGGACTTGTCGATTATCTACTGTTTTTCTTATATGACAGAAGGCGAAGCTCGATTTTTAGAGCGCGACTTAGTTACTAAATAGAATTTTTGCAATTTGAAGAGTCGTGAAAAACCTTATATGATAACTTCTGTGTTCCAGGTGTTTTCGATGCATTTGCTGGATCTGGAGTTGACATTTGCATCTTCTCAATCGCTACGCTTCTCTTCCGTGTAACTGAGAAAACCGTCACACCCACTACCGTAGTACTCAAAGGTTTGTTTTTTGATTCATTCATCCAGGCTTCGTATTCAATGGAAATAAGGTCAAAGCAAGTGATAACATTACTGCCGCGTTTACAACAACAGTTCGAAACCAACCCACTTTATCCGGGGTAAAATTTACATTCCTGCCTACAAAATGACACCATTAAATCCTATGTGACATTTCGCCCAGCAGGGTAGAGATTTATTCGTCTTAAATAAAGTAAGAAAAACATGCGAACGAGACGAAACACTCACGACGTTGTAACACATGGGTATGTGTAATTAGACAACAACAAAAATGATGAAGTGAAAAAATAATTTATGGCGCACCCGACCAAGGTTGCCCTCTTATTGTCGATCTTGCAGGAATCAACGCTGTGATTGGATTTTACTACAGAGCGGCTATGATGGGAGATATATCAGAAATGGCTTGGAGATATTTTGCACTCTCCATCCCAGTTTCATCAATCACTGGTCCACTTGGAAGTTTCCTTGGATCGCATTTACATAGACAGGTAAGCAGAGATCACTGAGAAAACCATGGAAACTTGAAATGGTCCCTTTTTATCGAAAAACTGGCTATTCCAGGTTGTCGCCGGCTTTGTCTACATTCTCGAGATCATGGCTTTGATCGGTTTCCTTCTAACAAAACCCACATGGCAACTCATTGCCGCTGGAGGTAAGTCAAATTACCACGCTTCAGTAATTCAACAAGCAACCAATATATCGATTTTCAGGCTGCATCATCTTCGCTGGTTTTGTCTTCTTCTCCCTCATTTCAAAATCTGGTCAAATTATCCTTAGAAACATTGAAGAGAAAGAAAAACGACAACAAGAAACGGGAACTGTCTAAATTGTTGATGTATGGGTTTTGTGATTTGTAAAGCATGGTATTATGTCAAAGCCTGCTTTCGGCACACTTATTTACTGTTGGAACTTTGTTGCCTTCATATTATCTTTGCATATTCTATTTAACATGTACAGCACCTTTCGCAGTTGCAGCTTGTTGAATTGTGACCAATGATCTCTGACGTTTAGAAATAAAAATGTCACTTCTAACACCTCGATTATTGAGCACCATGTTCGAAAGCCTGGAGATTATGTCGGAACAGAGGAATAATCTGAAAAACACTAAGGGCCGCATGCATCAACCTCCCGGGAATCGCGGCGTGAAATAAAAGCTTCGTATTCTAAACTATGGACCAAATTTCCCGCTTCTACTCATCCACAGTTGTTTGTGCTAAGCTTTGCTACAAACATATTGAACAGGAACGAGAAGTTGTATAAGCGACATTTCCCAGTTTTTTGTATGATCCCTGGTGGTCCTCAGCGGTTTACCGTATTTACTTCGAATTCATTACTCTTTTTACAACGTTAATGAAAATATTTCAAAGTTTGTTAATTATCTACCCAATGTTGAGAACGTCTCTGTTAAGAACAAATGAGTTATCAGAGTATTGACATTTTCGATAGAACCCAATCTTTGGCTTGTGTTCATCGCAATTTTCATGACTTCGATACATCATTTGTTCTTAATAGAAACATGCTTAGCACCGTTGGGCTAGATAACGAGTATGGTTTTGAAATGTTTTCATCAACTTAAAAGAAAGAAAAACGAGTCCGATGAAAAAGCGGCCGGCAGCCAGCGATCATCAAGGGATCATACAAAAAGCTGCAAAACGCGACTCTTACATCTTCTCCTGTATAGTAAGTTGTAGAGGGTACAAAATATTAGAGCATCAGGACATAAACCTTTCTTTTGAGCTGCGTTTCCCCCTTCCCAGGGAGGATGTTAACGCTTGCGGCTCTGACAACTGGCTCTGGCTTTGTGAGTGATATCTAAAGTTCCTTTCAGGCCGTCGAGAGTCCAAAATTTACTCCGACAGCAGTATTGTGCCTAAAGATCATTGGAATCTGTATACAACTTTTGTAGATTACGAAACACTAAAAGCAATGTTATAAGGCAGAATAAGCTTTGAACTATGCCTTCGCTCTCATTTTTAACTGTAATACAGCCTCAGAAAAATTCTGACGCTCGATGAGAATGGATGTAGAATTTGCAAAAAAGCCACTTAATCCTGTATACTGCAGACCTTATGAGGCGGATACGTTTGGGACAGTGGCCTAGTAAAGATGAATGCAACTCCGCCCAAAATATTGTCTAGTTATTGTGAGTTTATGTCATGGTCCCGCAATGAATCAAGAATTGTGTGATGATGTCGGACGAAGCTGTTATGAAAACAAACTCATGCCAATTTTAAAACGCCCCAAATACTTTAAATTATTTACAGCAAACTCGAGAAAAATTCTTTGCCACTGCCCAGGAAAACCGTTATTTTTTGGCGAAATCAAACAATAGGTGGCCTCTTACTCAAAAAAGAGCAGTGCTTTATTGATTGTCCAAAATTCTTCACCTCTTCTCTCAAGAATCGCAGTGGGCTGCTCAATTCTTAGTGTCTTGTTCATATTCTTCAGCTGACTATTTGGTGCATTCACTAATCGTTATTTAAATCACTTCCTCGAGTGAAATGTTGAATTTGCGAACAAACACGAACATTAGAATCTGCTCATTACTCGAAACTATATCTACCCTATTTTCAGGTGTATAAGCCGCACTTTTTCAAATTTTCGCCCGGGCTGCTCCGCCGCTTTATTGTGTTTCGAGAAACGACCTTCTGCCGCACGATTATTTCAGGTAATACGCAGCACGGTATAGGGTCCTTTCGTTGCGAAGTCCTTTGATGTGTTCGGGCTGATCGATGTAAGCTAGGACCACCCCGCGGCTTATACACCTGAAAATAGGGTAACTTCAAGATCTATCGCATCTTTTCTGCTACGGTCTAATTATAACTGTTTTCTCTGATCTCATTACAACGCTCATAATCCTTGATTGTTCGAGTCAGACATCGTTTGTCGTTGATCTCTGCGACCGTTACGTCAATTTACAGCGTAAAGTGTCTTCTCGAGAACGCCGCCGTACTGTGCTTTGCGAGAAATCGAAATCACGCATGCACAAATCAACTGGCCTTAGTCGGATCACAAGCACGCCCTGGTTTTGTTTGTGTTCGTGCATAATCAAATAATGCATTTGCGCTGAATAAAAGACTTTCCAGTCGGGAAAAAATGAGAGTATTTCGTTGCATTTGTAGGGATCAGAAGACCATACCAAAGTGAAGGTTCATGTATGCCAATGCATTGTCCGCTTTTGTGGTCAGGTAGAATTCTGCCTTTTCCTCACATTGAAACGTCTTCCTTTCCTCTGTTTGTGTTTACCTCAATAGATAAAAGTCTTATAAGAATAATCTAAGCAAAGGTACCAGCATCGGGATATGTAAACTTACTTGCAGGTAAACTTTTGTTTTGAATAAAATGCAATGACATCTCTCAGAAATTTGCAGCTTTATCTTGCACACCATATCTGGAGATATGCATAGAGACAACGTGTAGTATTTACAGAGCGATTTAAGCATTGAATCTGAAGTATTGAAGTTAATGATCAGGCATTTGCAGGGCTCGGCTCAGCTGGCACCGGGTCTGGTCATCGTTTTCAGGGAGGAAAGCAAAGAGGATATCGTTTTTCCGGGTCCGGGGAGGAGAAGAGCCGCAAGAATGCCGCCGGCAAGTCACCGCATGCAAAGGCGTTATTTTCAGCCAAAACGCAATAGTATGACACCAAATTTGGTGTATGCATGCGCGTTGGGGAACCCGAACTATGGCCCAAAAATATGTGAAAACTTTTGTGAATGAAAGCTGTGCTGAACTTTTTTCCGAATTGGCTGGCATCATGCCAGCTGGGTGCCAGCTGAGCTGGCACCGACACTTTGCTCTAAGTTTCATACTTTTTTGCATAAAATGTATCTACAATGTAAAAGTTTACATACGGACAAGAAACAATTTCATAATGCTTCCTTTTCAGCGTTTTATAGTCATAAAATTACTTAGTGTGCTCCGCAGTCGAAAAATCGCCTTCTTCTGCTTCTCAGAATGTGATTCAACCACTTAAAAAGCTCAGAAAGCTGTGAAAAGTTGTTCCATGAAATGAGCATGCATGGAAACCCTACTATATATACTTTTACATGATCTAAAAATAATGACAGGTCTTCAAAACAGGTCAAAGGGAACTTCATACAAAATTTTCAAGATCAAACGGGACTTCGTTTCGAAATATTCCTGGTGCCAGCTCGTGCCATGCCCTGAGCACCTGTCCCAACCGTGCTTAGCGGTCGACTTGAATCGGCTTGCAGGGTTTTTCACTGGTACTTGTTAGCAAGTTCACCATCTATGCTGCCTCATGAGCTTATCTTAGTTGGGGTCTCAAAAAGTTTCAGTGGGCGATTCCTATGTGTCCAGATTTGCCTGGAGCTGCCTTCGAAATCTAACAAGTCTCGCATGTTCGAAAATGTTGTAGCATGAGCTCACAATATTTCGTAAATATTGTCAACATCAAAATTGGTCTGTGCTACTGCTCAAATCCACTAGACATATATAATGACCTGGTCACTCGATATACAGTTGAATTATTTTGTGTGATATGTGTAACATTGCCCACACCGTTCACCTTTGGCACTCCCATCTGGGTCGTGAAGGAGGCAACCCTTGAGGCAGGTGTTTTCGATGTGTTTTCAATGTTTTCTTTCCTTTTTAGGAACTATTCATCTCAAAGTGATGTAAGCGGTAGCATTCGGTCAACCTCCTGTGTTTTGCGATCTCAGATTCAGGATGAGGACGCCAAAGATGGACGGTGTATGCGCACATGATCATATGAAATGATTCGAATGCATGTAATGACTTGGAATCGGAAAGCGGCATAGAGCGGACGTAGTGTGGCCGTCAAGTCCTGGCTTAAACCAACATGATTGCAAGAACAGATGCTGTTTTATGTCAATCTTTTTGAGCTTTGAACCAAGAGGAGGATACACGGTCACTGGTAATCAAACACGTATCGCTAGACGCGTTTCGAAACGGTGAGCAAATCTGCTTTCGCTATTTGCATAAATATTTCAGAATGAATCATGAGCTTTTTCCTGCATGATTTTCGCACACTTGAGCATAGCTCAAATCATCAAATCAGCAGATACTCGTACTGCTTAGGTTCATCTTTTTTGGATGTTTACCTCACGTGTTAGTTATAACGCGTATCAATAAAGATAAAGATTAAACTATCTCGTTTTTTTTTCAGGATAACGCAACCGAAGAAGATTATCTGAGCTCATCTTCAGGTTGTTTTGAGAAAGAAAACAATATCTGAAGAAACCTAAGCGACATTGTAGTGTTGCTGAAATGGAACAGCGCAAATTTTTATGAAAAAAACGTGCAAAACTTATTTCAGATTCACATTGAGAATAGCGATAGCAGATTTGCAATCAGCGTTTTAAGGTGCATCCAGTAAAATGTGTTTCATTATAAAAAGCAGCGGAAAGTAGCCCTTCCTTGTGAGCTATCAACGAGTGTAGTCAAGTGTCTTATCATTAGTATTCGTTGGCAACAATGCTTCATTTGCGGTCCATGAGCAACTCATACTATCAGACGCTTCATCCTAATTTATGTCGAAGGGGTTTGTGGATAATCTGCAACATTTGCAACGTATCATAAGTACAAATGTTTTGCTCGTCTATGCTTGAGATGTTATTTCAAAGCTGTATAATGGTTTGACTGGTAAGGTTGCAGTTTGCATTGACACCTTATATTCTTTCCTTCACATGTGATGTCGTTTGTTATTAGTTTCCTGGTCTCAAACGGACACCTTTATCAATGTGTGCAGATTAAACTTCAAAATGAAAAATGCAAGAAAATCTTGGTTAGAGCATGCGTAACATTCTCAGTATGCATAGGAGTCATCAATTTCCAACTTTCTGTGTATTCACTGTAATGTGACGACGACGGAGTTACACTATACGATTCCGTTTATCCCATGCTGCAGTCCGTCAGACTGACTTTTGCGAAGATTTTGTATTGTTAGCGATAAATTCTGTTTCTGCTTTGAAAAAGTTTTTAATAGATAAACAATGCGACAGATACAACACCCTTTACGCAGCAATATACGTTTGATACAATCAAAATGTGTGATCATTTCATCGCCATGTTAATTCAAGATCTTTTTATGCTTAGAACTAGCTGCTCGATTTTGCTTTGCAGGATCCCATATGTGTTCGCAAGCGCTAGGTGGTGTTTTTCTTAACATTTTTTTTCTATGGTGCTGGTACAAGCACGCTCAAATTTTTTCTGTCCAATATAAATGCAATCTCATATCCACTGAATGCTGCTTTCTCATATTGGTCATTCCGTTCTAGTAGTCTGTCTCAACTGCTCCTCATTTTTATTGTTTTATTCTGACTCATCTTGATGTACTGACAAAACAATAAATATTGAGCAAATATCTGTGCAACCGATACCGGAGCTCAGTTTTGGCTTATGCGCCCAACGTTCATCGCTCATCTGTGCCCTGCCCTGTGCTACACTTTCATAAGCATTTCTGTCAGGTTGCAATCATATGATAGGCATAAATACAGAAGGATAAATTGGAAAAATTTATCCACGTGTTTCTCACTATTCAGCACAAATACACAAACAATACGGTATTACACAGAACGATGTGCGACACAAATAATGAGATCAACGATACGAGAGAGAACGTTCAAGGTTGTGTGACGTAAAAGTTCAGTAAATGATCAAGTCGTGCGACAGTGGGCGACTACAGCGACGAAATTGAACCCGCCTATACGCTGCCGAACCCGGAAATATTGAGAGTTGGACAGCGCGACACTTGCGAAGTGTCTTCGGCGTCACAGCAACCAATCGATTAATGATCGATTTATTTCTCTGTGGGGTTTACTTACAGTACCGGTTCAAACATTGCCTTCTCATGAGAGCTTCTGAGAAACCAATTTAATCTAACTTTCCACGATTCAATAAGGAAAGAATAAATTAGGGTTTGAGAAGTAAGCGCTACAACGTGAGTTCAGCGCTAAACAACATGCACAATATCCTTTTTTGACGTTTTCAGCGTCTCCATTGCTATTTCATAACAAGGTGGTGGTGTTTCAGGCCGACCCTTTTTCATTTCATCAGGAACGACTGGTTTGGATGTGCATGGCTCTGCAATAACACTTATAACTTAGCAGTTCTCCTTCCTGGGTACAGCCGCACTCACCACCCGTCCGTTGCATGAGATTCATTGCGGACAGTTGTTCATATGCTGGTGGTGGTCGATTCTGTATAAGGCGTTGCTGTTCTAGTTGTTTGGAGGACAATGCCATGAATAGGACATAGTTCTGGAATAAAGAGCAACTTTCAAATAAAGATGCATAGACATGTTTCAATCTTCAATCCTTGATCCGCAAAATTACTGACGCGTTTTCGAATCAGCAGGCAAAGTTTTGTTTACAGCTCAGTCTCACCTCAAAGAACTGCATCAGTACAGCGCAAAGCACAAACAAAAGTCTGTACATACTTCCCTTCAAGCCAGAGTCCACCTCTTCAATGGCGAAAAATAACGAACAGAACGAAACGGTGATCTATAACGGTATGAATCAAAAAGGATAATACTAATTTGAATAGGAGTAAAAATGTTTTCTTAAGAATAACCCTGCTTGAAGAAGAGTTAAGCACTCTTGAGTTATGCGAACGCTATTGCAAGAAGAGTAAGCAATATCAAGTTTATAAAACGCTGTTTTAAGAAGAGTAAGCAATCTCGAATTTTGTACAAAACAGCAAAGACAAAATTTTACACCATCAAAAATTTGTATCATCCTCAATTCAACAAGAAATTTTATCGCAAACAATATGCGCCTTCCATTTTATTTCCTAACTCGCTCAAAAATAAAACAAATCAACATTTGAATTTGAAAGAACTATTTAGTACAGCACTACAATCTGAAAGAACACGTCGTTGCAAAAAAAACCTATGTTAATATTTCTCACTACTTTTTTTCTCTTTCTCACTCCCCCCCCCCTCCTTCCTCTGACTTCATTTCGTCCTCTCATCTCTTTTTCCGTATAGTTTTGTATTGCATCAAAAAGCTATCGAGCTTTATTAATTACTGTTCTTTTCTTTTGGATTACAGTAGGCTCGCATCACGATAAACTCAGCTTTCTTTCTCTCCACAACTCCCCCTCCCCCGCCGTGATCCATAATTCTCAAGTCCCACTGTTTGGACTTGATAACGGGTAAAACGCTCAACCCTTTTCCGTTCTTTCTGCGAGATTTCCCTACTCTCATTCTTTTCCTCCGCACTTCATTGGAAATCTAATATTTGCACTTTACCTTATAAATAACATCAGGAAGCATAAGTAGAGGTCGATTCAAGTAAAGCGATGTGATAGCTATTCCAAACAAGCACGAAGCAATGCAGTACAACAGATCGACGACTTCATCGTAACCATCGAATAACCAAGATACGATAAGCAAGTCAGCCGTGTAGTTTACAACTGACAATAGGCAATACGATCTTCGGCACTGTAATTTGTTTTTGACATGGTTGGTAAATTAAAGTGTGAAAATTAGCCCATCATCATGCAAGAATTGATAGAGATCATAAAAAATCCAACCTGTAGCAGGTGTAAGCACTCCACACATCGACTGAAGATTGTGACCCCGACCACATGTGGGTTCATCCTGAAAATCGGGATTCATATGCATGGAAGGATTCGCATTTCAACAACTCGCAAAAATCTACTGAATGACAAGTATCTACCTTAAACATCTTAACTGACGACAACTAGCAACAAGGAAACAACATGTGCACATAAAGAACAGGGACTACCGTAATACTGCCATGCGACATCCCCCGCGCAAGTGAGGCGGCCCCATCCCCCCCCCCTTCGCTTGTCAGCAGGTTTTCCTTAACATCGTCACAACTGTACGCGCAAAACACATATGCTTTGACAGTATGTTCTTTCGTAACGCGGAAGTTATGATTACGAGTCTTATGGTGTCTACAGCCTGTATTTAGCATAATGAGTTTTTGCAAACAAATTTTCGTGCTTTGTGTAATCTGACGTAGAGAGTTTGTTCATTTCATATCAAATTGCTCGTATTTCACTTTTTTGGATTACGGTGCAGATTTGACTAGGGCACTACGGTCTCCTGTAAATTTGTGCGTAATTCGCCTCATCTAGTGAAACATTATAAGCTAAACGATGCCATTGCGAAATTTAGTGTGTTTACAAGTGTCAGTTGAGAAAGCTTTAGGGAGATGATATTTAGTGTAGAATTCCTTCTGACACATTCATCATTTCCTTAAGCAAATAGCAAGTCGAATAGAGGACTTTTTTGTACGTTGATCTGTATGATGTGTGAGAGATAAAAGGTCTGTACATGCAGCTTCAATAATTCTGTCGGGCGGTGCAATTAGATTTGGCCTATGGATTTTCAGTAGTAACCTAAAAATTCTACGTTTTCATTGGACTGCAAATGGCAGAAAAGCCACGTTAGCGCTGAGCCAGTCATTTGCGGTGAGTAAAATGCGTTTTGTAGGAAATTTCCTTTTGCTCAAGAAATGACGAGCCAATACCTTCACTATGAGTTTACTCAATTTTTTAACCACATCAAAATAGCAGCCGCAAACTTAGAAGCAAATTATGCTAAGCCTTACGTTATGGCTCTCCTTTCTCGATGTCTCTCCCGCGTTAGCAAAGTAGCTAATTCGTTGGCGTCGCGGTTTTGTGCCATGTCGTTCTCGAAAAAAATAATATAAAATGCATAATGGTCAGTCATTTTGAAATAGCGGGCTTACTTTGAGAACGGTTATATTTTAAATTGCTTCAAAATTCAACAATTGATCCGACAACGAATTTTTTCTGTGCAGCCTGGTTTCAATGCGCCGCTGTCAGCCACAAGAAGGAATGAAAGTTAAAAAAAAATCTCTCAAGCTATTGCCATTCTTCTTATTTCTGGATGAAGGTTCTCTTTCCGGAGAAATTAGTATTACTGTATAGCAAAATTTCATCGCAGTTATTTCGTGATCATATAAGTTTTCAGTGCCTTTAGGGTCTATTCACATACACTGCGGGATTACTATCGCACTGCTGCTTGTAGCTATAGCATAATTTGGCAAAAATATGCCTTAGTATAAGGACTACCAAAGAGGATTATTTGAAAAAGAAATTATTTGTTATTACAGAAGAGGTTTTCAACTTTCTGTTGGCAGCAAATAGTAAACATATAATTCGACTGCTTGAACATAAAATAGTGCTTTGCATTTTTCTAGAATCAGCATGCCATTGCACAGCGGTTCAGGGACGAACTCTCGAATTCTATTAGGGTGTTTCATGATTTTCTACCGTTCTTATCCTAAACATCAACATTTCTCGAGAACTGGGGCACCTTCAAAAGACATAGATACATGATCGTATTTCTGATTGCCAAATGATCACATGCATAGGAGGAGCTCAGGACGTCTAGGGGCGGATTTTGTCATTTTACCTCATTCATTTTTTTCTTTATTTCTAGCCATGGAGAAATTTCGGAAAGTGTATAGTTGAATGTGCGATGTCTCAAGCATATGTTAGGATAAATGGGGAATTTTTTAGATACTTTGGAAGATACGATTTTTGACAGAAAAGTTTTTTTTCGACTACTGTCAGATTTCAGCTTAAAACTTCACGTGGGATTATTTGGGCGCACTATTGATAGCCATCTTGAAAAGCTTGCTTTGCCCTGTCGAATGATTAGTCAAGCACGTCAGATGAAGGAAAAATACAAAAAGACGGCGGTTGTAGTAAAAACGGTAAAAAAATTATTAGACACCTTAGTAGTACGATGGTATTAATCCAGCAATTTTTAGATTCTTGAATTGGTGCTAGATACTAAAGTAGTCATATGTCACCAAGGAGCCTGAGATGAGCGACACTTTGATTGCACAAGAGAAAGTGCAGATATACAACAACTTTGGGCTTTTCGGACACCTTTTCAGAATATATTCACGAAGAATGTGATTGCAGTGTCAGAAAGGCCAGAAAGGCCGCGCAAAGTTACTCTCTCATCGCACTCGTAGGTTTTACTGACATAATAGTAAAGGCTGTTCGAGATACATTTCCTGACGCGTGAGAAACGTCACAAGAGAATGTAGTGCATGTAAGACTGTCAGATTTCTAATATCTGTAAATTTAGGAAGATCCTGTGCACGAAGAATGTTGATAGATGTCAAATGAACCAAAGAAGGACAAAATTGTAATAATGACATTCTGTCAACATAATTTTTATTGCCTCACACAGCGGCGAAAAATTTGAACGCTTAAAATGTAATGCATGCAAGAACTGCGTCGTCTAAGCAAAGAGGTGCCCGTATAGCTTGTTGAGTGATAAAGGTAAATCACGAGTAAGCTGAACGCAAAGTATGAATTAAACTGTATTGCAAGGATGAGTATGTACATTGCTAGACTTTCGATTCTGCCATAACAGGTAGTATATGCGGCAACAACATCGTATTGCATAATCTATCCGGTTGCGATTGCTATGCAGTAAAAAATTCTCCCTGTACTCGAAAACAATAATCGACATTTTGAAAGGCAAGTAAGAGACAAAGTTTCTTCAGAGCCTTATTGAAGTTCTAAGCTATCTGACCCTGGATGTAAGCGAACCAAATTTTCTAAAGTGCTGAGCCGTTTTTTGCCTAGTTAATTGTAAACTGCATAATGTGTGAAGTTGCAGATTGTGCGCCTCACTTTACGAGTACTTGATTATGAGTACTACTCAAACATAGTGAAAGAAGAGCTCAACTTAGTCGTAGTAAAAGCGATCACCTGAACATTTTTTTTCAACTCTGTTTGCACCTACCCAGGCATAGGAGGAGGAGAAATCTTTATGAATTTCTCTTTGACTATTTGGATACGAGACGTGGAACGACAAGCCTAGTGTGCATTCTACACATCATGCAAATAACTCAGTGTCTAGTCAATAAAATGTCGTGTAGTAAAGATCCAGAAGAGAAAATTGCAAATGCACTGTGGTCGTTTCGGAAGTTTGTTGAAAATGTAACTGCCCTCTCTTATATTCGCGTACTAATCCTTGACTGTTTATCGTTTCGCACCAGGTATGACAACGTTTTTGTGCCAGAAAATTTACATAGGCACGTGGCACCGACAACACATGTACTTCAAAAACGGTTAAATGTGTTATTGTGCACTTTGTGTGTTCCCATTTTGGTGAATCAATGTGTACTGTAAGTCTTTTTTAAGATATCTGCCCAAAAAGTGTGGATAATCCCAAGCAGTCAACAAATAGCAGAACTGTAATTTTGGCTGGTGTTCTGTGGGCTAGGCTAAGCTAATGCTTCGCCTTCAACTGCTATAAAACTTGTACCATCTTCATATCCCACTTACGGAGGTAACATAAAATTGACAGAATGTTGAAATTAATTTCATATTTCCTAAAACTTTTGTTATACGCATATGATAGCAGATGGATACGCCCTCTTTATATCGGTTCGGTTCGAAAGTTTGTGCCTCTCAGACCTACTCGAATCGTCAATCGTCATGATAGAAAATGCTCCGAACAAAGCTCGATGCAGCTCTTCTTCTTAATTTCAGCAGTGATGTTTTTGCTCCGTGTTCCTTGATGATTGTCAGAATTTTCAACCCATAGTGTTTACCTGTCCTAGCTGATTAAAAGATCTTTAGTAACAGGCGGGATAGAGAGAACAGAGTGCTATGCTATGCATTTCTTTGACATGTATAACTGATCCCTCAAAATTTCTAATATCAATGTTCTGATGCTATTAAATTCATGTTCGGTCATTCCAAACCTCTGAACATCAAACGGCGAACACTCAAGTCGTTCGATGCAGCTTTTTCTCTTCTTTCGAAAAGTATCGACTCATTCTGATTTGTAAAGGCACTGGAGTAACAATTCTTTCTGAACGTGTCCCAGGTTGTACTCGGAAAATTTGAATTTCTATATTTGGAAACGGTAAACGCTCATTTGTTTTGTAAAGTTGGTGTTTAATCCATAATCACTTTCCGAAAATTTCAAGTTTCGAAAAGATAACAGTGTTTGAAGCATTTGTGTATTTCACAATTTTTCATGTATTTATTTTGAATAATACTGGACCAGCCAAGTAGCTCACTGTATTGCATTTTGCTTACTCTATCCAACTATCCAAGTCTTTCAAGAAGCCTTGAATGAAAATTTTGATAGTTAAAATTAAGGTATGAAAACGATGGGTTGAAGATTCTGTTAGAGCGACCATTGTAGGACTTGTAACAAGAGCATACTGCTGGAATGAGACGGAAATTCTGCAATATTTAGAGCGTTTGTCTGTCATTATTCGAATTTATACGAGGTCTGAAAAACGTCACGAACTTTCGAAGCGACCTGCTATGATGGACGTCTTTGTCTTCCCAATTCTTGCTAGGCTCCACGATCGTCTTCGTGTATCGTAGTGATCTATGGATACCTAACCATGTCCACATTTTACCGTATGCCCTTACAGTTATATCGAAAAGTAGATTTCTTGAGCTAAGGCTCCTAAATCCGCTATGCGTGGCGCATCAAGTGGGTTTTTAGGCATTAACCGTGATTTACTAGATTTTCACAGTCTATGAACAAGTCAAAGGTATGAAACTTTTTTTCATTTCTTATGAGCTAGAGGCCTAGATCATTTGATGTGCTGCACATGATGCATCACAGTATAAAGTGTTCCGTCGTATTTCACTACAAACTGTCGTAGTCTAGAAATGTTGGAGTTGAATTTTTAACTCAGAGATTAAGGTTTTTTTTGCTACTAATTCGGGATATTCCATGAAGCTGAGCATCAATATGACGATGTGTACCGTATGCAAAAGTAAATTCATCTATCGCCAGATAACTAGCTTCTTCCTTTCGAAAAAAATATTGCGGCTTTTCCTGAACCGCAGAATTGTTTTCATTGTAATTTCAAGACATGCCAATTTGTTTTTATTCCTTAAAAAAGACAATTTTGTGGCTAATGGCAGAAAGTAACCGCGCTTGACGCGCTCAGATTTCACAATTCAGAAAGTCATCGTTGAAACAACCATGTTGTTGGTGAAAAATTTATCTGTTTTGTATGAAGCACAAACAAGGGATATTCTGCTCAATTTTATCGAATTTGTTTGTAAAATTACTTTTTTTCACTTTGTGTCAGGATTAATCTTTCAGTAACTAGACTTGGGTAACAGGACCATTTCCACATTGATAGGTAGCTGATTTTATGAGGAAGTTCGATGCTTTTGCTTGGGTGACAATCACAGGCAGCTGAAATGTGCAAACAATTAAATGTAGATAAAGTAGAAATCATTATTGATATTTCTCACCGCAATGCAATCTACAGACGAGATTCGAACTTGTACAGCAGCTTTACCATTCGAATTCAATGCGGTAATTTGGTACATGCTGTCAATATATGGCAGTCCAGCACGTTGTACCATTTGTTGGAGCTAAACTTTTGCAATGCAAAGTCTTATTGGAATAGTTCTAGAATTACCATAGATCTAGCCATGTTCGTGTAAACTTGGCTTTGAGCTGCCACGTACGGTTGGTCGGTATAGAAGGTGACGACCGAAGGCTGCGGGCCGACTGGACCAGGGGCGGCTGGTGCACAGGCCTAAAATTATATCAAGCAATCTGGCAAGTGATAAGGATAATGTTCCAAAAATTATCACCAGTGCTGCACCGACAATAGTAAAAAATAGAGTTATGCGCAACATTTGTCGGCAAAATAAGCGGTTGGCCTTTTCACACCTTGGTTGACAAATTTTTAGGATTCCTATTTATACCATCTCAGACATTTTTCAACGTGGAATATCTTCTAAATTTGCTCAGCAGTGCTGTGACAAATTATCGTTAAGCTTTGACAAACATCATGCTGTGAAGCTATGTTTACTTATCTATTGTTAGTGTTTCAATGATCGATCATCGCTTTCTGCTTGTTTCATGAACATTTTGGATCGAGAAAAACTATGTACTGGTTTTTGTAAACGATAAAAGCAGTCAGAAATATTTTTGGTGCATAAATTTTAACTGTACAGAAGTATCTTTTCAATGATTTCTTGAGCAAAAAATGCAAAAATTTTTTGCTCTCAGAAAAGAAAACACCAAAATTTTCATGTCGGCCTTATTAATAGTGTAGAAGTTCGAATTTCTCCTGATCTTTAGAATTACGGTACCGAACGAGAGTTTGAGGTTGTTCTTCAGAGTAATTGTAAAAATGAATCATAAAGGCTTTGCTCAGACAATGGCCCAAGCCTCTCAATCAGTATCCACTCAAAAAACCCAGTTGATTATATTCGTCTAGCCCTGCTCCTATAAGGCATCGTTGTAAGAATGCAATGCCTTGATTCGCTTTCAAAATAAATGAGGGTCTACGGTTGTGCAGAGATGAATTGATTTTTGGTAAAGGCAATAAATTTCAAACTTATAGTGGGAGCGTCTTGTTCTCATTGAACACGTTTCTTCCCTGCAAATTGGTCGTAAACTTCTTATAAGCGTCGATTTTCTGCAAATTGCTTCTCACAAGTGTTGATTTAGCTCTTGCAAATATGGGTCGTTCCGAAAGTATTCGCTTTTTCAAACAAGCGCCGCAGTCCGCGGAACAAAGGTTTACGGAAGCTTTTTGGTAGCTTTCGATGCAGCTTTTCGTGCTCTTTTAAACGGTTGTCTTCTTGCTTCAGTTCGACAAATGAGCTCTCAGAAAACCACCAAATACCATTATTTATGGTTTTTACCAAGGTCAATTTCTCTATTTTCAATTGTGCACTACTCCCCCAATGGGGTGCAAGTAGCCTATTGATAGAGCAAACCTTAAAGAATACAAAACTATTTTGTTTTCATCCTTATAACTTGCCACAATTTTTGAGAGGATTCTCAACAACGCGATCGAATTTCAGCAAAACCATATCAGACGCAGACTGTCGAAAGCCAACAAACTCACGATTTTTAATACTTCAAAGGTGGATTGTGTTAGTACTAATTTTACATATCAAATGAGCGTTTCGGCTCAGCAAATCACCGGGACTTCCGCAGGACAAGCCAAATTTGCGGAACTTCCGCAGGAATTTGTTCACTATTGCAAAAATGAAAACGTTGAAAATCGGAACTTCCGCGGGATTTTCATGCCAAACTGGTTGAAAACCGGAACTTAAGCAGAACCTTCAAAATCCTGCGGAACTTCCGAAAAATGCCAGAGGTTTCGCAGCACTTTGGATTGCCAGAACTTCCGCAGGACTTTGAATGTGCTGTCTCGTATGATGTTTCTCGCCAACAACTAGAGTGCGTTATCGAACATGTCAGCCGTAGTGGAGAGGACCGTAGGTGAGTCTCACAGTCAATAGAGTAAGGTTCAAATCTCGACTAGATGTTTTCTTTTGTTGTTGTGGTTGGCTCTTCGGAATTTCCGCAGGTGAACTGGCGGAACTTTTGGTGATTTGTCTAAGGGGATTCACAGATTTTGAATCTACGGGGGTACAGCTTGGTTGGGAGTGGGGGGCAGGGCCCGGCACCAATGGTTTGGGGTCAAACTGGACTTTGTTTTTGGAGTTAGAAGCAACGGGGACATCGTTTTTGAGGCCCTGGAGGAAGCGCCAAAGAAAACACGGCGAACATGTCAGGCTTCACGAGTTGAACGTTGTCTTTTGCAAGCGCGCGAATTTCAAATGCAAGACTCAAACAAACAAATGGCTTGTTTACAGCGCACAAACAATCACATGGCTCCGAATTTGGGCTATGTGTATACAATATTACTCCAAACTATGTTATGTAAAAAGTTCCCAAAACTTATGTGTCCTAATATTCGTTCTCGAATTTGTTGGTTTCTAGCCCAACTACCAAACCAACCAAACCAACTGGGCTGGTTCGGAGCATAAATATCGGAGAGTTCACATAAGTTTTGAACCTTTTTGATTTGGACGATTAGAACGTTCAAAAATTTATATAGTGAAGAGAGCGGATCAAACCGTTGCCTCTCCCCTTTTTTTGAGTCAAAATTAGTATAATTCTACGCGTTGATAGATATCGCGCTCCAATCACTTGCGGTGTCCTTTGAAATATGTGGCGAAAGATGCATCGCAGGATTGTTAAGGCTACAGATTTGGTTGGCCTAGGAGATTTTCGACATTCCCAGCATCAAAATGGTACTATACCCAATGGCACAGCCTTTGATCAAATCGAAATGTTTTCTTTTTGCTTTTTTGTTATATTACATACCTCAAAATGCGCTTTTTTCGCTTTTTTGTTGCTATTTTAATTGAATAAGGGTTTCCCTACTGAATTTCCACGTCGAGAGGGACTTCGTAAATTTTCACGAAGTTATGAGGGACTTCGTTTCCTAAAAACCTCCAAACCAACGCGTGCCGGGCCCTGGTGGAGGGGGGGGGGGGCATTAAAAACATGAATTTGTCGATTTCCCCCTCCCCCATGACTTTGCAGATTGGGGGCGAAAAACATTTTTCTAAAAGAGGGGAAAGTGCTGCATCGAATAACGCTCGAGTTGCCCGCCGGTTGGTGCTCCATGAGGCTCAAATTGACCACATATAGAATTTGATAGCATCAAAAAATAATTTTGAAAATTCAAAGTAAGCTATGAAAGGGAAAGAAGTTGTCTGTATCCTATTAGTTTTGCTCTGTCTGAAGGTTGCTGGACTTCTCTGAGAAATCAGTACAAGAATTAAGAAAAATAGCGATCTTTAATTATGGCAAAAACCATGTGTGCAGTTTTTGGTAATTTTCTGAGAGCTCGTTTGTCAAACTGCAATACAGAGAAAATCCTTTGAAAGTGTATGAAAATGTGCATTGAATGCTGCCAAGATCTTTCACGGGTGTCAGTTCTGCGAGTTGTGGTACCCATGCAGAAAAAGCTAGGGATGGCCTGATACATTCCGTTTTCAAGTGTTGCTCTCATAAAAATGTCCCATTATATTATCACCAGTGCGTCACTTCTGCTTCGCAGAGGCTGGCACTGGCTCTACTACCCACATTCCTTCCTCGTAGTCGCAATATGATGGCTTTGAAACATACCTCGCGATGCCGATCATCACGAATGAAATGTAAACAACTACTTATTCCAAAAGCTTTTTCATGTAGGATTGGTGATTTTGAGGGAAAGAAAGTATTCTACAAAAGATTAAATGCGATTCCGAATGTCACTGGGGTTATAATGGCTTGAAAGTCGCCACAAAGATGATGACAACCGTGAGTTACATCTCTGAGCAAAAATTTTCTCATATTTCCAAGTAAAACTTTGACAAATCGACCTTCTTCTGTACAATAGTGCTTTTGGCGCCGATCTTGCATGTAAGTAAACTTTTTGCTTACTTTTCGTGCTGGAGTCCATGGTTTGCAGATTTACTTGCTGAACGAAACCATGTTTTTGGGAAAAGTCCAATTACAGGCCTACTTTGGCGCGAAATGTCGCGTGGACCCGTTTGGCGCACAATTTCACAGGTTCCAATTATCGGATCGGCTCGTGATTTTGCACATTTTACCTGCATGTTGATAGGGTGCTAACACCAAAATTCTAGCTCAAAACCTTTGCTGGAACTCGCTCTACGAATTTCGTAACAGACAGAGATTCACACACACACACACACACACACACACACACACACACACACACACACACACACACACACACACACACACACACACACACACACACACACACACACACACACACACACACACACACACACACACACACACACACACACACACACACACACACACACACACACACACACACACACACACACACACACACACACACACACACACACACACACACACACACACACACACACACACACACACACACATTTCGTAACAGACAGAGATTCACACACACACACACACACACACACACACACACACACACACACACACACACACACACACACACACACACACACACACACACACACACACACACACACACACACACACACACACACACACACACACACACACACACACACACACACACACACACACACACACACACACACACACACACACACACACACACACACACACACACACACACACACACACACACACACACACACACACACACACACACACACACACACACACACACACACACACACACACACACACACACACACACACACACACACACACACACACACACACACACACACACACACACACACACACACACACACACACACACACACACACACACACACACACACACACACACACACACACACACACACACACACACACACACACACACACACACACACACACACACACACACACACACACACACACACACACACACACACACACACACACACACACACACACACACACACACACACACACACACACACACACACACACACACACACACACACACACACACACACACACACACACACACACACACACACACACACACACACACACACACACACACACACACACACACACACACACACACACACACACACACACACACACACACACACACACACACACACACACACACACACACACACACACACACACACACACACACACACACACACACACACACACACACATACACACACACACACACACACACACACACATACACACATACACACACACATACACACACATACACACACATACACACACATACACACATACACACATACACACACATACACACACATACACACACACACACACACACACACACATACACACATACACACACATACACACACAT